ACACACACACACACACACACACACACACACACACACACACACCTTATAGGTTACATCACAACTTATAGGTTACATCAGCCTATGACACACTGTTTTTATTGGGCCATAACTACACAGATAACAATTCTCACAACCAGGGCTGCAATTAATGATTTTCTGGCAGCTGACAAATCTAATTATTTTGGTTAACAATTAGTTCAATTCATCTCTCTTCACCCTGATGTTTTTGCATTAATGCAGTACAGTCACCCCCAAAATTCATGACATTTGTAATTTCCATGAAACTGAGGGGGTTTCTGACTTATTAGATTTTTCCACAGCACATAAAACGAAGACCTTTCAAACTTACAAATACAAAATTAATCAATTGTAATTATTTTACTCAATGAGACTGTCATATATAAATGAAAAACACTGGACAATACAAAAGTGTACATCACAATATGTGACTGCAACATCAATATCAGGGTTTCCCCTACATGTAATTGATCGTGGCGCTCTGCCACGGCAAAATAAAAGCCGCCACATCTTCAGAATGAAGTTTTTTTTTTAAATCAGCGTAAAACAGGGTTCGACACAATCATTGTTTAGGTTGTCTGAGACAACACATTTTCGTTTCGGACAACCAGATCCCGCCTCCCGATTGTCCAGTGGACAACCAAGAAAAAAAGACCTGGATTAAAGTTTTCCACCGCGGGTGTTCATCATTGTAAAAATGAACGAGAGAAAAATAAACCTTGTTAAAGCCGTCTAGGGATTAAACTGACGTTTCTTTCATCCAATAAAGAGAACCACAGTCAAAGTTTTACCCAATCAGAACAGAGCAGGGCGGGTCGTGCCGTCTGACTGACAGCGCTGCCTTTTTCTTTCTCTGTGMGTGGGGGGTCAGCTTCACTCAGCTCAGGTGAACACCTCCCGGGAAAGCCCTCAGCGTTTCCTGGACTATTTTCCACTGAGGATTACATCGTATTTTATATACATTTCTAAAAGCACCTTGCAGCATTTCCACCGTAACACTGTGTTCATGAGCACAACACAGCGATAGATCACCTGACTGAGCGGCAGCGACTGCAGAAGCTGAACCTCTCCACATGCACCATGGTCCCGACCTGCCCGGGACTTGAGTTCACATGTCAACCCATTCAGACGGTTACGTATATAACAAGCATCAAAAATCAGTAATTTTCACAAAAAAAAAACTGTATTAATCACACGCGGGTGGGGTGGAGGTGCAAGCGGACCTTACACCTGATATTAAGATCAATGCAATTTTTTCCCTCTGCTATAATTTTTTTAAACAAATTTATCAAAGCTCCTCAGTTGAAAACACGAAAATGATAGAAGAGATGTTTAAAAACCTCTTTCTTCAGAAAGTCTTCAGTCCTAAGAACACTAAACTGTAACTTTTAATATGGTCATATAGACAGTGTACTCCTATTTAAATTAAAATGTTTGACCTGTAAGCAGAAAGCTTGTGGATGTTGATTTTTGCTCTCTATTTCAAAGATGATGATGAAGAGGAGTTTTACTCAAGCAGCTCCTGAAACCTGCTGACTGAGAACAATTGTATATAGTCAACTTTGGATACAGAACAATATAGCCTACTAACTAAATTACATTTTTATTGAGATTCTTGCGGACAACCAGATTTTAACAACCTGCTGTCCTGTTGTCATTTATAAATCACAGGAGAAGCCAGCCAGGTCCGCTCACACGTACGTGTTCAGAAATGAACCCAGCAGAACAGAACCAAGAGGCGTGGAGCAGATCTTAGCTTGGCTGAAATGGACCGTGACGTATTTATTATGTGACGGACGTCTGCCTCATATCAAACAAAACCAACTGAATTAACTCATTTTAGCGATCCTGTGGTTCAATATTTTTAAACTAACTACAAAGTTGCTGTTCTGCGTCATCTTTAATATTTCCTTGGTAATAAAGCTGTTTGTTGATTAATCCTGCTGTCGTTCACTAATGTCATCAGCTCATTATTTTCTCAGCTGTGGAAACGCAGGTTGCTTTTTTACAAGTCGGTCTGCCCGGCTTGGGCCTGGCTCTGATACTACCTCACTTAGGGGCCCAGAGGGGCATCAGAGAGGGGCTCACTTTACCCCCCTTGCAGTCTTTGTGTTTTTTCTGAATGACCCAGGGAGGACAGACCACACATCAGTCACAGACTGAGCTGTCTTCTGAATGAGGCTTCAGAAATATAAAATCCCATTTTGTCTGAGCCCAACATGAAATACTATACAGGTGCTGGTCATAAAATTAGAATATCATGAAAAAGTAGATTATTTCAGTAATTCCATTTAAAAAGTGAAACTTGTATATTATATTCATACATTACATACAAACTCATATATTTCAAATGTTTATTTCGTTTAATTTTGATAATTACAAATGACAA